TGTCGTCCTCATTTTTCTCCGATACATTTACAAATTATCCTCCAGCTTTTTATAACTTTTTGAGCTCTTATGTGATCTGTTTAGAATGCCGAAACAGTGACAAAAAGGCAATAGTGTCTTACTATTCACTTGCGAGAATATAAAATGCTGCGCAACGCATAAAGAACAGTTGAAAATTTTTCAAAACATGTAGTTTCTCATTTGTATATGAGCACCAACAATGAAGAAATTAATTTAAACATTTTCTATATTTCGAAAATTTATAAAGCTTTTATGTGCTGATCACAAAGTATATGATTGTTTGACGCTGGTTTCAATAGCAAAGGGATATTGTGGATCGCCTTTATTCTAGTATTTGATTTTTGCTTTAAAAGGAAAAACTTGGCTACAAAATTATGAGAATATATGAGCTCAGTAAAAAAACTTGCACTATTCCTTACAAACATTTTAATACTAAATCCCTTTGCGAGCAAAAAGTCACTTCTAATGCTAATACTTGTTTCAAAAATTATTGTTGTAAGCTTCCAATTATTCGCTTTTCAACATCTATACATTTGCAGTTTACATATATGCTAGCTTTTTAGACTTTATATCATCAAAACAACACATAATTTTGAACTTTGGCATCACGAAATGTTAGTTGTACAAGTAGTAGTTAGGGAAATGATTGGATATGCTAACATATATATTTGACAACATTTTCCCACAAGCCAGATGCATTTCTGCATATGAATAAGGAAAAAGACATTGACATCTTTTGAAGGTTATTTGACTGTAAAACGATTGATTCAGCTTTCTCATAATCTCCCTTTTTCTCGATCCCATCCATTCTGGTTTGGTCACACGATGCACACTTTAATATCTACCATTTTTTAATACCTGTGTTCTCCATTTAAAGCAAGCTTTGGCAAACAAATGCTCTCTGTGCTACTTCAGTCACATCCTTTCAATGGAAAATTTCATGTGTTATTTTTAATGAATGATAAATAAATACAAACTGTGATGATGTTGAAATCAGAGTAGCTTTCGGTCGCAGCCTTTTGAAGCCAGATTTTTTGATATCATATACGAACTTCATCTCTTTTAATCAGTAACTTTGAATGTAGTAGAAGTATCATTTATTATGGAGTATGTTATGTCTTGCTCTTCATGGTCGTCCCTGAAAATTAGTGCCTTTTGGCAGTGGCAGCTACTGATGACATTGTCAACTGTCCCCTTTTCCCCGTCTTCTCCCTTTGCTACCCACATGCTATACTTCACTTTTGCTTGCTTATCGAACAAGACAGTACAACATCGCTGAATGTTTCTGTCGAAGAACGCAGAACAGACGGACAGTAGTTGTTGCTTCATGCCTCACTTTGCCAATCATTCTTACTTCATGCTCACTTGTGCTAAGTGAACAGCCAAACTTATTCACTCACCACTTTAACTTTTTCCCCTTTATTCCACCAAACAGAACCAAAACCTTTCCAATTTTCATCTCACGTGATCTGTTTTTTGTATTTGGTTGCAATTTTAGCAGTAAGCATAACAGTACATATAATAATAACTAATAATAATAATAATAATAATAATAACTATAATTATACTTGAATGCCCTACTTCGGTCACTTCATATATTTAGCTATTTCTTCTATCAATACTTTGTAGCTTATTAAAAACTGTAATTCTGATTCATTTCAGTTTCTAACAGAAATAATTTTGTGCTATCAAAACAATGCATTGCGGAGCACTTCTTTAGTAGTTGTTAGTTGTTATTAGTTATTCATTATTTACATGTTAGAAATCATAAGAACTATATTTTATTTCTGTTAGAAACTGATTTTAAAGATAGATTTTTTTTAAGAGAAAGCCAATAAACAGAAGTTGAAAACAAAGTTATTCTGGCTATCTGACTCTACAGTTGAAGATATGCTTTAACGTCCCGCTGTGGATGTCATTATCTACAGTTGTTGCATTGCTAATGACCTGAAGTAATCTGTTTGAGAAAAAAAAATGAAAGGAGGGTTTTCTCATAAGCTTGTAAACAAAACTGCTGTGAGAGTTTTTCTGAAGCTATTTTTACTGCTTTTATCATGAAGACGGGAAGAAAGCAAAGCTATTTTGATTAAAGGAAATGAGTCTAATGGCTGCTTACCTGCAATGCCGCATCCTTTTCCTCTCTTCTAGCTCAAGGTCACATTTTTTGCTAAAATTTACGAAAGGATACGACAATATGCATGACCTCATGCCACTCGCCATCCACACAAAAGTCTATCTCACTCTATCCTCTTTATTATATGACATATACACAAGCCCCAAAAGCACACCTCAACACAAGTGAAAGAGGAAAAGGTAGTGAACAAGATGATGAACTGAACGTTCTACAATCCATCGTTCTGAACATTCGACGGTTTGATTATGCTTTCGGTCAACCATCGACCTTCAACCTATAAACTACCGACTACTTTCAAAAAAGAATTGCAGAAAAGTGATGAAAGGCTTCCTTTACATCCGGCCGATTATACTGATAAGAATCAATAACATTCAATTTATTGCAATGGCTACTTTCCATAAGTGACTGCTTGTCTAATCAGTTCAAATACATCTTGAAGCAATTTGCACTGGCTAAATGAAATTTTTCGGAAATACATTGATAATAGGAGAGTAAATCACTGATTACATAAATGATCGTTATTTTTCGTCGCTTACATCTATAAAGATTTTTTTTCGCTTTCTGCTTTAATCAATATTTAATGAAATAGAAAAAAGCCGAAAACAATTTAGAAAAGGGACTGAAATCTGAATTATTATACAGCTTAAGACGACGGTTCACTTTTTTACCATATTTCCATAAAGCTGACATAATTTCTTTCATCGATTATTATGATATTTTGTTGTTTTCGAACTTTGTTTCTACACTAATCATTATTAACCGAATTAGCATTGCTTATGTGGTGGTTAACATTCTATGTATTGTTCAGTAATTTCCAAACTCATTTTCATTCATTTTATTTTACCGAAAAATTATCCAATAATTAATGTTTGCTTCAATCACAAACAAACGATTTTCCAGCTCATTTTCAAATGCTCTTTCTTTCAGATAATAGTAAATCTAATTTGTGGGTCTTGGACGAAAACTCTCGATAAGATATCAATCAATACTTTTCCAAAGTTTGTTCTTTAAAAGAAACTGAATAAGTACGAATCAATATGAGCGGTTTTGTTTACTACCCACAACTCCACAATTCATTGAACATAATTTTCCAATTTCGTTGAATAGTACCAAGCACACATCTTTACTAACAGAAGTTGTTTCAGCACAGTATTTCATTATTACTTCAGTCAAGTGAGAAAAGTTTTTGAGAAACAGTTAACATCATTTTTTGCACAAATTATCACAATATTGATATTTTAAGTCCTTTTTAACTTTATTGATAATTATTTTTTAAATAAGCTTTAATCGAAATTTGATTTTGAGACATGGAATTAATAATAACTGGAGTAATATTTTAAATGACTGGTTAAGGCCACTATAGGTCTAAAGTTTTTCAATTATAAGTTAAAAGATGCTGCAAGTATAAACAGTGAGTGTAATGGCAAATAACTCCAGTGCTAATTGCACCAATCATCTCTCATTCCTTCAAAAGCGTAAAACTTTAGTTAACTGTTCGCAAAATTTTTAAGAATAAAATAAAAACTGCAATATTGTAAAGGTAAAATTTTCTTAGCACAAAATTATTGTATATTTGCAAGTCTAGCAAAAATCTACTTTAGTCAGATTTTAATTCTTCTTTAAAATAAATTCTTTTTGTCGAGAACTGGTGAAAATCCAAGTTTTTTTATAGCATACAAGGGGAGCATGCCGTTGCTACAAATATTTATTGTAATAAGTAACTTATAAAAGATTTATGTTTCCTTATTCTCTACGCGTACTCAGTTTATTCTATATTTGAGTTAAGGTTCACAATTCTTAGCTAAAGTTTTAATGTGAACAAAAGAGTTTGCACAAAATTTCAAAAAATTACAGTTCTTATATTATTTGATATAGTATTCATTCTTCAGTTCTTTTTCGAACTATTGTTCCTACATTTTCTTTTCATTTCTTGTTATGAATCAGAACAGGCAAGTCTTCAATTTCCAATATGGAAGTGTATTCATATTACCTCTGTTTCTTTTTTTCTCCGTCCGTTACTTTGTAACAAGTTTTGTTTGTTTTCTTCGAAACAACTGTGTTATTTTCATTGAAGCCAATGCAACTCATGTTCATTTTGTTTCTTAATTATTGTTTTATCAAGAATGCTTATAGTTTTTGCTTTTCATTTTTCTTAAAAAAAGCAGGCTAGATTTTACATGATCACTGTGTGATCTTTCATTATCACAATTCAAAGTATTTTTGTTTGGTTCATATGGTTCCAGGAAAGGTGATGATAGAAAGTATAAATAAGTTAGAGACAAACAATATTTCAGTCCGGTGCAACTGATTTCCGCTTGAGGGCACATTACTTTCAAGGTCGTGTCTCCTAGCACCGTTGATATCTACAATATTACTGCTTTTAATAGCTTAAGTATGGAGAATATTGGTAACTTTTCGTCAACTTAAAATTCATGTGCAGATCTTTGTATGAAAATATTCAGCTGCAATCTCTAATATAAAGATTTCGAATTCTCTTAATTTATTTTATTATAATTTGAACTGATCTTACAAAATAAGAAAAATGCATCGTATTCTAGCTATCAGTGCTTTTGGTGACATAATAATAGAATTTTTCTTAAAAAACTAGTAAATTAATTTATTTTTTCAAAAATTTTGGCACCAATTTATTTTTCATATCTGAATTACAGTTTTAGAGGAAACAAAGAAGTTGGGTGGAAGTGTAATGTAAGGAAAAAACTGTTGTCAATATTGAAGCTTGACTGTACGCTGTAATTATTATCATTACTATTGCTATTAATATCATGACCAATATATTCATAGGTACCACGACTAATGTCGACACTACCATCATCGTCATTACTCGTTATTTTAGAATAATGGTGAGAATGCTAATGTTGGAAGTATTGGCAGACTGACTAGATGGTGTAGCATTAGCAGGTTCTACTGACTGCTCATTGGCTGCTATTCGACTGCATATCGTTCTCACTCTGTCATTACTTCCTTCTGCTTCATACTTTTCCATCCTTTCTTTCATCCTCGTTTCTACGAAAAGATCCACTAGTTCCAGGTTTACGGTAATATGGTTGATTAGCATCATCCATCAATACTTTATAATCTTTTGTGCTATCGTTTTGTTGATCTATTCTCAATGCTTATAACAAAAACTATAATTTTCAGGTAGAACTCGAAGTTAGGTATTTAAAAATATCTTCAGCAAGTTAATAACCCTTGAAATAAATTAAAATTATTTCAAATAAATATGAACACTGACTGTGAAAAAAAGTGAAATGTGACACGATAACAAGCTTCTCTACCACACTTTTCAAAAATTATGACTTATGTGGTCTGCATGACCTTTATTCTCTATAAATGCATTTATGTTTAAGCAGTGTAATCAACTCAACTTTCACCATAATTATTCTCCATTGTTACACATTTGAGGTCATTTTGATGGTTACTTGTACTTTACCAAACATATCCATAAAAGCCTACGGAATTTTTTTAAGAGAAAAGCATCATAATTTTGTTGTATTTAATCACCCTTTCCTTTCATTCGCAAACAGTTATTGTTTTTCCAGCGAGCTTAGCCCTTTTTTAAGCAGCTAACAAAAAAAGAGATAGATGCAGGGAGAATACTGCTGTCACTATTTTCACATTAAACTTCTGGTAATAAATACACATTATAAAAGTAGTGAAAAACCACCTAACTATTCTCACTGTAGATTATATTTCATTAAAAAATGCTGCTAAGCAAAATAATTAACTCAGTATCCTCAAATAAAGACAAATAAAGCTTCTTCTCAGACATTATGCAGTTTTTGACTAGCTTTTTGGCTTCCTTCTTTTGCTTTTACTTGCCTTTTTCATAGTGTATTATTTCCGATATAGAAAAAAGCAGAAAAACTTGTTTCTGATCGGAAGTGGAAACAATTAGCTGAACAATACATACCTGCTTTCCCTTCCCAATATCGTTATCATTATTTTCTGACAGCTTTCACTTCCTCGCTTCTTCCTTTCATTCTAGTTCTTTAGTCTTTGAATGGGAAGATTAAAAGTTTATTTATAATCATATAAATGAGAATTTAAACATAAATGCATACATTTGTAAAATGTCTTCTTTACTTGAATTTATCATATTTAAAGAGCAAAAAAATGCTAACTAGGAATTTTGAGAAGCTTCCATTTATATTGTAATAATAGACATCATCCAGAGTATCAACAATTTTTGGAGAAAAAATCGAGCAAAATATATTTCTAGCAAAGGTAGCATAAAAAAAGAGTAAAGATCAGTATTACAATAGCTGTAGTGCATGCTTGGCAATATTTCAAATTAATTACCAGCAAGAAAGGAAAAACGGTTTACAGAAAAAAAGTGACCCAAGAGTAGAATGCCAAGTAACTACAAAAGCAAGCTTGATAATTTGCTTGTTTTTGGCTGTGAACTCGTTTTATGTCAGTTAATATCATGTGATAAATCCTTGCAAATAACATTATATATAAATAAATAAATAAATAAATAAATGAATATATATATATATATATAT